TTCCCAGCTAAGCAGAGGGTGACTGACCCCTGGCGTGCACCGGGATGTCGCCCCGGCCATCTCTGGCTTTGGGATTCTCAGTGCAACCTGGGTGTGCCCCGCCGCCCTGGTCCCCTGCAGGTCTCACCTGTGAGCATTTGTTCTGGCTGTTCCTTCCTCCAGGAAGCTCTCCTTGATTTCCCAGGCCCAGCTGAGGAACCCTGCCATCCACCCACTCTGAGTCCTGTATGCCTCTCTTGTCACTTATTCTTATGCATCTGCCACGAAGGGGACGAAGATCAGGAGGAGGAGCATTTGGGGCTGGGTAGAGGCGGGTGTGTGTGTGTTGGCAGGTTCGGGCTGTCTCCATTTTCCAGTCAAGCCCTGGTGCTTGCTCTGAAGTCAGAGCCATAACAGAGTCCCCCTGTCTGTCTGTCTGTCATTGCCCAGAGTCCCGGTCTGCCTGGCACAGGGTCTGGGACACTCGGAGGCCTAAGGAGGCATCTGAGGCAGCGCAGCACTGGCTACAGGATGGGGGGGGGGGGGTGTCTTCATCCATCAAGCGGACGTTGCAATTGTCCCCGCCCCACGGGCTGCGAGGAGAAAGTGGAACAAGATGTGTGAGGCTCAGCTCCGCAGTCTCCTTGCTTCCAGAGGCATGAGCGACCCCAGCAGCCTCCTAGCCTCGCCTCTCCGCCCGTCCAACTGTCCAGCAGGCCGGCCACGGACACAGGCCGCTGCATCCCTGAGCCCAGGGCAGCGTGTGACTGGCAGGGGCCTGAGTTTGGCTGGTGTTTGTCCTGCTTGAGGCAGCCACGCCCTCCGTCTCCTGAGACTCAGCCCCCATTTCCTCCCCTTCCCACGACTTCACTTTCCAGGTCGGGGGGAGAGGGTGGGCTGGAGGCAGAGAGCGAAGGATTAGCACGGCCCCTCCCTCCTAATCCCCCCACCACCACATTTTTTAGTGACAGGATTTTGAGCGGTTGCTATAGGCATGAGCGTGGCAGCCCGATGCTGAGGGCCTTGCAGGGGTTGGGAGGTGGGAGAGGTGGGGGCGTGGGGGAGGCTCGGAGGCCACTCTCACAAGCCTGGGCCTGGGGCTTGGCCATGAGGGAGACCTAGGTTAGTCTTGCCTCTGTGCTGTGCAGTCTTGGGCCGGGTGACTTCACTTCTCTGGGCCTCAGTGAAGCCACTGTGAAGGTAGGAGAGAATTTCCGGGTCCCAGGCCTGACCTTGGAGGACAAGATGGCCAGAGTGGGGTTTAGGGGGGCAGGGGTGGTGGCGAGGCCCTGGCTTTGCAGCCAAACCTGACTTTGAACTCCGGTTCTACTGCCCTTGTTGGCTTTGTCCTGTAGACCCAGTTGCCGCCTCTTTCTGAGCCTCGGGTTTCCCTCCTGAAACTTGACACTCAATGCCTGCCTCTCAGTCAGGGTGTTGTGGGGTGCACGGGAGGAAACATCTAGATTCCCAGAAGCCGCCATGTGGCTGTGAATCACCCAGAGGCTGCAGGAAAGGGTGCAGGACAGTGTGCGCCTCCAGGGGGCGCTGGTGCCCACGGGCAGAGGAAGGGAAGCTGGAGAGGAGCATTAGGGGGCAGGGGCAGGGGCAGGGAGAGAACCTGAGGACATCAGGTCTGTGGACATGAGGCCCAGAAGCCTCCAGGATGCACAGACTGACAGATGTCCAGTGATAGACCCATGTGTGGACATACAGACACCTCCACATGCAGATCTAGCCTGGCGGATAGACCCAGCTGCATACAATGCACTGATACCTACAGACACCCAGCTCCATGCACAGTATACCTGGGCTGACTGACCCACAGAGCTATTTACACACACACGGACACACACACACACACACACACGGACACACACACACACAGGGACACACGGACACACACACACACACACACGGACACACACACACACAGGGACACACGGACACACACACACACACCAGGCGCCTGGGGACTTTAAGGGTCACCCTTTGAGAGGCTCTGCATCTGCACCCATCCCCCTCCCCTGCCACATCCCCCCGGACCCAGCTCCAAGTCCTCAGGATACTCAGGGCCTGGCCTCCGAGTCTCCACTGTCCTGTGTCGGTTCCCTTGGGCAAGCTCACCCACCTGGGTGCTCAGCCTCTGGTCCCTTCGGGGCCCAGCCCTGCTCCAGGACATGTCCACTTGGATGCCCCCAGAGGCCCCCAGCTCCGCACACCCCAGACCAGATGGTTCCAGGAACCCCATCTCCATAATCCAGGTGCCTAGAAGTTGCTTTGACTTCCCTGGCTCACCCACATCTTGGGAATCTGCCCCCACCTCTCTCCCCACTGTTACTGCCCTCTCAAAGCTGTTGCCACCTCTCACCCAGGTGAGAAAGGCGACTCAATGGACCTTCCTGCCCCCATCCAGTCCACCTGCCCTCATGGGATGGTCTAGCCGTGCCTCCAGCCTCATTACTTCTCCTCCCAAAACTTAGCTGCTCTTGGGGTTTAGGAAATTCACTAGAGTTCGCCTGCCTGTGAGGTTTGGTAGAAGCCTGAGCATTCCCAGGCGTTTCTCCTTTTCATCCAGTCCTGCCATGCTGGGTAACTTTGGGTTTCAGCTTGACATGTAGCTTCTTCCAGGAAGCCCTCTATGACGTTCCACCCCTCCAGATGAAGTTAGGAACCCTGCAGCAAGGCCTTACTGTACCGCAGCTGAGCTCCTATTACACTGCTGTCTGGAGTCTGGGACCAGCAATCCCTGGTGTTTAGCCTGACAGCTGGCACTTGAGGGGCTCTTCGTATGGGTTGGATGAATGAATGAGTGTTGAAGAGTGAGATGGATGTGTTTTAGGACGGAAATGCTTTAAGGCTGGGATAGGACAGGGATGGAGGGGTGAGGATTGTAAGAGAATGGGTTGGGCAAGACTAGGGACCCAAGCCCTCCTCCCGGGCCTGCTGTCCCTGGCGGCCGTCAAGAAATGTGCTCTCTTCTCAGCCCAGCCCCTCGCCCCAAGGAGAGTCACCACAGGCGTGTACAGGTTGGTTTATTTACAAATATACTGACGTCTCATCTTTGTTGTTGTCGTTTCCATTTTCTGCTTTCGTGGGAGGAGCGGAAGGTGAGAGTGGAGGGCGGGGCGGGGGTGGTGATGTGGCAAACGCTAATAAATAATTTAACAATGACAAGTTATTAAATAAAACGTGTCTGGGGATGGTGGGTGGGCGGTGAGAGTCTGTACAAGGAAAACAGAGGAATGGCCAGTGGCCCGGGGGCCACACCCAGCTAGGCCGGGCTCCTGGGGGAACCCCAGTGGGGTGGGGGGGCCCCAGCAAAGAGGCTCCTTGGAAACGGCCCCTCCCAAGGGCCAACGGCTGGGGGGTTGGTCCTCCTGCACCCCAGCTCCCCCCAGGCTGTGCGCGCCGGGAGTGTGGGCCCGGGAGCCTCCGTGTGCGTTCGGGTGTGAGTGTGCGTGTCCATGTGCGTGCATGTGAGCGTGGGCCCCAGAGCTGTGGGTCCTCCCAGACAGGAGGCGAGACCCACACCCCGGGCGGTGCCCAGAGCTCAGGGGGGCCAGGCAGGGCTCGGCCAGCTCCCCCTCCTGCAAGGTTCCCTGCGGGTGCCAGCTCCAGGTGAGCAGACAAGACAGGCGAGTCCCTAACAGAGAAGAGGCTGCCCCAACCCCATGCCAGGGGCCTGGCCCTGCTGGTCTGGAGCTCCCCCCCCCGCCTCCTCCTCCTCCAGGAAGCCTTCCGAGATGCCTAGCCCACGTGCACTGACCCCTTCTCTTACAGGCTCTGTCGGACCCTGGTCTGACCCTGAGAGCCACTGGGTCCCTCTGTCCGTGGAGAAGGCAGACGAGGCTCTGGCTGGTGGCAGGAGCCCACCTTCTTGTCCCTCCTCTGCTCTCACTCACTCCGTCACCTGGGATAGATTCCTCCTTCCCTCTGAGCCTCAACCTCCCCAGCAGTGTCCTGCCTGCCCGCCACTCACTCTCTGCCTCTTCCTGCAGAGACCAGACTCTTCTCTTTTCCCTCGGGCTTCCCCCTTCTCTCTCCCCCCCACAGTGATGATGGTCCCTTCCCCTGGACTACTCACTGCCCCCCATGACAGGCTGCAGTTCCACCCACGAAGTGGGAGGAGCCGGCTCCCCTGGGCCTGGCCGGGTCCCAGCGAGCCTGCCGGCTGTGTGTGCTTCTGCTGGGTGACCCAGGCACCCGCCTCCCTTCTTTGGGCCTCAGGTTCCTCACCTGAGAAATGGGTCCTCCACAAGGTCTGGGACAGAGTGTGTGTGTCTCTTCAGGACATACCTTGTCCTATCCCAGCCATAGAGTCTATCTCAAGGGTGGGCCCTACATCTTGCTCATGTCCGTCCCCGCCTCTGACCCCGGGCTGGGCAGAGTGGGCATCTGGGTCTGAGCCTGGAGGAGGCGCTGGGCTCAGCTCTGGCTCTGACACGGACCGGTGGTCAGGGGGCTGGGGGTCCCCTCCCCTCTCCCCACCCAGACTTTCCAGCTGCAAAGAAGGGGGAGAGGGGTGGGCAGGGTGGCTCATTCCTGAGGTTCCTTCCAACTTAGAGCCTGGGAGGGAAGGGCAGGTGATCGGGGGCTGGGGCCTCCACGCCTGGCCCTGCCCAAGCGCCCCTGCCATGGTCTGACTGTGCGGATGCCCCTGCCATGGTCTGACTGTGCGGATGCCCCTGCCATGGTCTGACTGTGCGGGTGCCCCTGCCATGGTCTGACTGTGCGGGTGCCCCTGCCATGGTCTGACTGTGCGGATGCCCCTGCCATGGTCTGACTGTGCGGGTGCCCCTGCCATGGTCTGACTGTGCGGGTGCCCCTGCCATGGTCTGACTGTGCGGGTGCCCCTGCCATGGTCTGACTGTGCGGATGCCCCTGCCATGGTCTGACTGTGCGGGTGCCCCTGCCATGGTCTGACTGTGCGGATGCCCCTGCCATGGTCTGACTGTGCGGGTGGCCCTGCCATGGTCTGACTGTGCGGGTGCCCCTGCCATGGTCTGACTGTGCGGGTGCCCCTGCCATGGTCTGACTGTGTGGACGCAAAAGGAGAAAGGGAGGCAGGTCTCCAGAAACCGGCACGGCTGTGGGGACCAGAGAGAGCAGAGGAAGGCCGAGTGAGGCCGAGGCTGTGGCTGCGGATGGACTGAGCCGCCAGCTGAGGGCCCCGGGGAAGGCCTTTGGAGCACGAGCCCAGAAGGGCCAGGCTGGCTGCTTAGCCCAGGGAGGGCGGATGCTGCGCCTGGTCCCCCCAGCCAGCTGCCCCGGAGAGAGCAGGGTGAGGTCTGCGCATGGGAGCCAGGAGGGGTGGGAGACGCGCCCAGGCCTCTCCGGAGAGCCGAGGCTCCCCTGCAGACAGAGGAGCAGACCGCAGAGCGGCTTGGGGAACTCTGAGGATCCCGTGAGGGCCGGGCAGAGGAGCCCAAAGACAGTCAACCATCGCCCCATCCGCTCAGAGGCTGGACAAGCAGGCCTCTGGGGGCAGCCTAGGGCTTTGAGCCAGAACTCAGGGCAGGGCCATGAGCACCTGGCTGAGGACACAGCGCCTTCCAGGGGTCACTGAGAGCAGGGACCAGCATCCTGACCTAACGTCCCTTTGGCAGGTTAGAGTAGAGTGAGCGGAGGGTGGGGGTTGACGTAGTGTATTTGGCAGCTCGAAAACAGGGCTGGAAGTGCAGGGGGAATGCATCTCCCAGGAAGGGCTGGTTAGTGGGCCAACGCCCAACAGGGAGAGGTCCTGAGGGTCCAGATGCCCCCTCCCCCCCACTCAACACACACACAGAAGAGAGATGTGACTTAGCTGTCCTGTGTGTCACGGTCACTGGGTTTTCTTACAGGACAGTGTTTCCAAGGTTACATGGCCTAAACCATTAACTGGACCTCAGGTCACATTAACAAAGGTAGGGCACCTAACGCTGGGGAGGTGACGGGCCTGCTCACTCTGGCTGGTGGAGGTTGGTGGGAAGACTGGGTTCTATGCCTGCCACGCCTTTAGGAGGAACGCTGGGGCCCAGTGGTGGGTCAGTTTGAAGAGGAAGAGCAGAGGAAACCGGGGCTGGAAAAGGTCAGCAGGAGAGGGCAGCTGGCACGGAGCCTGGGCTCCGTGTCCCAGGAGCAGATGGCGTGCCACGTGGGCGACGTGTGAGGTCCTTCCCGCCGGGAGGTTCTGCCACGTGGCCCAACTCTGCCCGGTTCTGAGCTCCGTCTCTGCCCTTGGGGCTGGCCGGCGGCTGCCCTGTCTGCCCAGCCTCCTTCTGGGGTACCTCCGAGTGCACCTGCTTCAAGCTCACCCCATCCTCTCCCTCCCTGCTTCCTCTCCCGGCACTGCAGAGGAGCGGTGCCCTCCCGGTCTGGCCTCTTTTTCCTTCCCACAGGGCTGCTCCGCCTCCTTCAGTGTCTCTACGTCTCTGTGCGTGTCTGCCTGCGTGCCTTTCGTGTGTGCAGCTGCACGTGTGTCTCTGACCCTCAGGTCCGCCTGGCTCCGTCTTCCCTCCCCGGCGACTCCCCCCAGGGCAAAGCCAGGTGGGCCTGGCACCTGGCTGGCTCTGCCCCGCCTCTGCCCCGCTCTGGCTGGGAGGGGTGAGCCTCGCCCGGGGACTGCCTGCCCACAGAGGCGGCCGAGGGGGTGGGCGCCAGCACAGGGCACAGGCCTGGCCCACCTCTTCCCGGGCCTGCACGGGGCCCTGCCTCGGCCCAAGCAGGGGCCCCGGCGGTTGGCTGGACACAGAGAGGATGTTTAAAAAAATAGAGAGAATTTAAGCTTCCCAAAAAAGGCGGGGACGGAGGAGGCGATGGAGGCCGAGGTGGGGCGGGGAGGCGAGGGGCTGTCCGAGAGCTCTGGGTCCCCGGGGGCGGCGTGGTCTCTGCGGGCAGGACGCAGCCCTGCGCAGAGGGCTGTGCTCCACGGCCCGTCCGGCCGTGCCCCGCGGGCATGTCGGCCAGGCCCGGCTGGCAAGGGGAGGGCACCATATGGCTGTCGGCAGAGTCTGTGCGGGCGGCGGGGCCGGGAGGGCGGGGCTGGCCGCCGGGACCCTCGCCCAAGTGTCCATGCAGCCGGCTGGCTCTCAGGAGGCGAAGTAGGAACTCTGCATGGAGTAGAGCCGGTCGATGGGGTTCCCCACCCGGGCCTGCAGGGAGCCCACGTCGGAGGAGCCGAGGAAGCAGTCGCTGAGGCTGGTTAAGGAGGTATCGCTGTCGATGTCGTGGAAGATGGAGTCGTTGCCTGGGGGTCAGAGGGGCGTCAGGAGGGGGGCGAGGGCTGAGGCTCCCGGGGGCCCTGTTGGCCTAGGGGCTGTGGCTGGAGGCGAGGGGGCGGCAGGATGACCTGCTGACAGCTCCTGAGCGGAGGGGCCGGGCCGTGGGAAGGGTCCCAGGAGGAGGCGCGGGGGCTATGGGCCCCGGGGTGGGGTGGCTGCCCGGCCTCAGGCCCGCGGGCAGGGGGCTGGGGCGGGGCTGGCGGGAGGGGGCGGGCGGCTTACCATAGGGGTTCATGTGGTCACCTGGCATTTGGGGTGGCGTGAGGCCCTGCTGGAAGGGGTCACTGCTGCCGTAGGGGCTCTGCTCCATGGCCACGATCTGCTGCTGGGGCGGGGCCAGGGGCGTGTAGGAGGCCATCATGCCCTCCATGCGGCTCGACAGGACCTCTGCGGGCAGAGCGGCCGTCCGTCACCGCCAGGCCCCGCCCCCCCAGAGGCCCCGCAGGCCTCCCACATCCCCCCACCACCACAGCGTCCCTCGGCCTTCTCCCGGCCTCCCAGGGACACCCACACCCTGTAGCTGGGCCCTCAGGACACAGCCCCGTTCTCCGAGCCCCCGCCCCTGCCCCGGACACACCCCAGCTCCCCCTCCAGAACCAGGTTCTCAGAAGCCAGGGGCGCCCCTGCCCCCTCCTCCGGAGGCCCTGCCCTCCGGGAGCTCCCGCCTCTGGGGAGGAGTCCATGTGTGGGGGCAGGAGTATCGGAGTGGGGCTTGAACCCAGGCCACGGGGCCCCAGGAAAGGCTTCCTGGACGGAGGGGCCCCCACCCCCGTGTGACTTAAAGAACCAACAAGGGTTTAACAGGCTCTAGAGGGGGCTGCTGGGACTCCAAGGGCACACCCCCTGAGCTGCCTGGGAGACGAGGCAGTGGCTGTGGCCTCCGGAACCCACCATCCGGGAGAGGGGCAGAGGGAGCAGAGGGGAAGACCTGGGCCCCGCGGCCATGGCCTTGAAGCCCTGGGTCAGCCTGGGAAACGGGCCCCCAAAGTTCTGAGCGACGGGCCTGGGGTCTGCCTGTAGCCCTTGCCTCACCCCAGAGCAGGCAGCTCGGGGCCCCCACCCCCTTCAGTGCCCCAGAGAGGCCCCGTGCCTCCCTTCAAGGCCCTGAGGCTCCCTGTCCCCCTGAGGCTGAGGCCTGGGAGGCCAGCCCTGGCCTTTTGGCAAAGCCCTGTGTTGGAGGGGCTGGCTCCTGCTCTTTAGCCCCTGCCCCACACCCGGCCTTTCTCTGAGACCCCGCAGTGGCCGAGGGGCCCGTGGAGGCCGAGGCCCGCTCTGCCCCTCACTGGCTGCGGGAGCCACAGGCCCAGCCTCCTCGGTAACAGGACACGGCAAGGCCCTTCCTCAGGGGACCGTGAGGCTGAGCCGGAGCGCGTCACGGATGAGCTCAGGGCCCGGCGCAAGGGACAGGAGCAGAGGACGCAGTTTTCACATCCGAAAGTCGCCACACCTACGGCGCCCACCCCCTCCCCCCACCTCTCCCCGGTCCTGTGGCCGCTGCCACCTCCGGCTTCACGGGGCTCCGCTGGTCCCCAGGAGGCAGTTCCCTGAGCTGGCGGCCTTGGGGGGTCCCGGGGAGTCTTGGTGTGAGTGAGGGCGCCAGGCCCCCTGGTCCCGCCCGGCCCCGGCCCCGCTCACCTTGGCCCAGCCGCTGGGAGTTCTGCTGCTCCTGCTGCTGCTGGTGCCGCCGTGCCAGCTTCTTCATCTGGGGAGACACAGTGCGTGCCAGTCCCCGCCCTCCCCCGCCTCCCCATTAGCTCCCCCCACACCAGGCCCTCTGCCTCCTGCCCCAGCCCCCCTCCACTCTGCCCGGCGGGGCGGGGCCCGCGGCCTCTCACCTTTGCTCTTTGGTTCTGAAACCAGACCTGGACCACGCGCACGCTGAGGCCTGTCTCTGCTGCCAGCGTCTCTCGGACCTGCCGGAGGGGGGGGGGCAGGTCAGCCCGGGAGGTGGTGGGCGGGGGTGGGGGGGTGGATGGGGGAGGTGGGCGGGGAGGGGGGGGTGGATGGATGAGCGGGGAGGTGGTGGGTAGGGGGGTGGATAGATGAGCGGGGAGGTGGTGGGCAGGGGGGATGGGTGGGGTGGTGGTGGGCGGGGGTGGGTGGATGGGGGGTGGGCGGGGGGGTGGATGGATGAGTGGGGAGATGGTGGCTGGGGGGGTGGATGAGGTGGTGGGCGGGGTAGGGGGGTGGATGGATGAGCGGGGAGGTGGTGGGTGGGGGGGGTGGATAGATGAGCGGGGAGGTGGTGGGTAGGGGGGGTGGATAGATGAGCGGGGAGGTGGTGGGCGGGGGGGATGGGTGGGGTGGTGGTGGGCGGGGGTGGGTGGATGGGGGGTGGGCGGGGGTGGATGGATGAGCGGGGAGGTGGTGGGTGGGGGGGGTGGATAGATGAGCGGGGAGGTGGTGGGCGGGGGGTGGGGGGGTGAATGGGGGAGGTGGGCGGGGGGGGGTGGATGGATGAGTGGGGAGGTGGTGGGCAGGGGGGATGGGTGGGGTGGTGGTGGGCGGGGGTGGGTGGATGGGGGTGGGCGGGGGGGTGGATGGATGAGTGGGGAGATGGTGGCTGGGGGGGGTGGATGAGGTGGTGGGTGGGGTAGGGGGGTGGATGGATGAGCGGGGAGGTGGTGGGATGGGGGGGAGGTGGATGAGCGGGGGGCGGGGGGGTGGATGGATGAGCGGGGAGGTGGTGGGATGGGGGGGAGGTGGATGAGCGGGGGGGGGGGGGTAGGTGGATGAGCGGGGAGGTGGGGGGATGGGGGGAGGTGGATGAGCGGGGGGGGGGGGTAGATGGATGAGCGGGGGGGGGGTAGATGGATGAGCGGGGAGGTAGTGGGTGGGGGGGTGGATAGATGATCGGGGAGGTGGTGGGTGGGGGGGATGGGTGGGGTAGTGGGCGGGGGTGGGTGGATGGGGGTGGGGGCGGGGGAGTGGAGTGATGGGTGGGGTGGGGGGTGGGATGGGGTGGATGGGGGGTGGGCGGGGGGTGGATGGATGAGCGGTGGAGGTGGTGGCGGGGGATGGGGGGATGGGTGGGGTGGGGTTGTGGGCGGGGGTGGGTGGATGGGGGGTGGGGCGGGGGTGGGATGGATGGGTGGGGATCTGGGGCTAGTGGGGAGATGGTGGCTTGGGGGGGTGGAGGGAGGTGGGGGGTGGGGTAGGGGGGGTGGATGGAATGAGCGGGAGTGGTGGAATGGGGGGAGGTGGATGAGCGGGGGGTGGTGGGGTGGGGTGGAGGTGGATGAGCGGGGGGGGGGAGGTGGATGAGCGGGGGGGGGGGGGGTGGATGGAATGAGCGGGGAGGTGGTGGGATGGGGGGTAGGAGGATGAGCGGGGGGGGGGGGGGCGGGGGGGTGTAGAGGATGGAGCGGGGAGGTGGTGGGATGGGGGGGAGGTGGATGAGCGGGGGGGGGGGTAGATGGATGAGCGGGGAGGTGGTGGGATGGGGGGTAGGAGGATGAGCGGGGGGGGGGGGAGGGGGGGGTAGATGGATGAGCCTGCCCCGCCATCCCGGCTGCTCCTCACCTTCCGGCAGGGCTTGGAGGAGACCTCAAAGGACGCCTTGAAGGCCCTTCGCTGCTGCGTGGTGAGGATGGTGCGGGGTCGCTTGGGCCTCCGGGGGTCCTTCCCGTCGTCCCCGCTGCCCTTGCTCTGGCTGCCCTGCCCCTTGGCGGGCTTCATGTCGCCGTCCTCATCCTCACTCTTCACTGTGGGGGACACAACCCTCAGGAGGCCAGCACCTGCCATGGCCTCCGGCGCCTGGAGACCCCAGGACAGAGGCTATCCTGGAGAAAACCAGTCCTGCCAGCCAGGCCCCAGGGCTCAGAGAACCTTCTGGAAGCTTCCAGGGACTAAGAATTGACAGGCAAGGACCACGCTCCAGATGTTCTCACACAGGAGTATCCATGGCCATGACAGACAGACAAACACACACACTGGCACATGGGCCCACCAAGGCTCAAGCAATGCAGCTCTCACACACACACACACACACACACACACACACACACACACACGCTCACAGGCAGGACAGCCAGGCACGCACACACATGCATGCAGAGCACGTGCACTCACCCAGAGACGCACCCACAATGCCATGCCCCGCTGGCCACCCCAGGCCCCGGGGTCAGGGTCTCAGATGCCAGCGCCCCCACAGCGCCCTGCCCAGCCCCCCCCCCCCCCCTCACCGGAGTCGGACTCGTCGGGGCTCACGGAGCTGAGCAGGTCCTTCTCCTTCTCGTAGTCGCCCTTGCACAGCAGCTGGCCCTCCTTGAGCACGAACTCGTCGCCCTTGCGCAGCTGCCGCTCGCACACGCAGCAGCAGAAGCAGCCCAGGTGGTACACGCACTCCAGCGCCCGCATCACGAACTCGGTGGGGGCGATCTTCTCCATGCAGCCGCTGCACTTGGCCGCGAAGAGCCTGCGGGCGCGGAGGGGGCGCGGAGGGGCACGTCGGCCGGGCTCGGGTCCCTCCCGGAGGCCGCGGCCTACTGAGAGCCGCGCCCACCCCCTGGCCCTCCAGCCCGAATGGGAGAAGCCCTCCCTGGGCCCAGAGCCACCGGGGGAGGGCCCGTGACCTCAGGGTGGGCGCTGGCACCCTGCCCGGAGGTGCCCTCTCGTGTGGCGTGTCAGCTCGGGGCCCTTTCCACGCAGAGACACAGTGGCCACTAGAGGGCAGAGGACGAGGCGAGCCTCAGCCTTTCCCCCTCCACCCTCACCCCAGGATCCGCTCTGCCTCCTCCCTGCCCCTCCACCACCCTCACATCCAAGCAATCCCCGCCCTGGCCAACCCACCGCCAGCCTGGGCCCCCTTCCCCTTTCTGAGCCACTGTCCCAGTCCCCGCCCAGGGCTCCTGGCCCCTCCGACCCTTCACCCTCCAGGAGGAGCGCCAGAAAGATCTGTCTGAAACACACCTGGTCCTGCTGCTTCCCTGCTCTAGACTCTCCCATGGCTCCCTGGTGCCCTGGGGGGAACATCAGGCTCCTGGGTCTGACGCCCACAGCCCTTCGCCATCCTGCCTCTCCTCCCCCGACCCCTGCTCCCCCAGGCCACAGCCTGCAATTCCTCCAGAGCACCCTCACCCTGCCCCTCTCTCGGGCCCTGGGCTTGGCTAACACCCACGCATCCCTCTGCTCAGCGCAAGCACTGCTACCACGAGGTGATGTGTTTACTGAGCACGCACAGCCTGCCAGCTGCTGCTCTGAGCACTCTGCCGGCAGAAACACGTTTAGATCTCACTGCAACCTCTGAGCCGGGGGGACGCGAACCCCATTTCAGAGATTAGGAAATGGAGGTGCTCAGAGTCACATGACGCTAAACGACGGAGCCGCCTCTGAGCCGCCTCGGGGTCCCTCCATGACCACGGGGATCTGTTCCCTCCTCTCAGGATGCAAAGCCGGTGGGGCTCCGGCCCCGGCCGGCGTGGGCAGAGGGTCTGGGCGGCTCGGCCCCCCCTCTGCCCGCACCCACTGACTGCTCCGCTGGCCGCCCGGCCCTGACACGTGCTCGGCTCTGTGGGAACTCAGCCCCAGCCACACGTTGATGGAGAAATTTATGAAGAATCAAATTATTGCTGCTGGGAGGGAATTAAAACCATTTTTCATCCTCCGTGTCCCCGGGCCACGTCTGTGGGCGCCACCTTGGGAGCGCCGTGCGCGTCCCATCCCTCTTTATGGCCCGCCATCGCCGTGCAGATTGCAGCTGCAATTCTCCACTAATCGGCTCTGGAGCGGCCATAAACGGCCGGCGGCTCCCTCCCCGGGCTGCGCTGGCAGCACCGCCCACAGCGCTGCGGAGTGCGGGGACAGGGCCAGCCCCCTCTGCCTGCTGCCCCCGCCCGCCCGGCCAGGGCACTCCAATGGGGGGGCTCCCCAGCAACCCGGCCACCCCCGCCATCCTGCCCTGCAGGCTCCTATGCAGCCTGCGAGGCCCGACGCCAACGCCACTTCCTCCGGGAAGCCTTCTGTGCTGGCCCGGTCTTAGGAAGGCGGCCCCAGTCCCCTCTCCCATGAGACAGGGAGCCACAGAGCATCCCTCAGGGCTGTTGTCGGAATTCAGTGGCGCTGGGCATGGAACTCGGTGAATGAGGGTCACGTGGGAGGGACCGCAGTGGCCGTCAGCTCTGCACCGGCTCCCCAGGCAGGAGGCCCGCACCCCACCGGGGCCTCAGGGCGGCTGGGAGGGCTGAAGGTTTGGGGTGGGCAGAGGCTCAGGCCCCAATGTGTGCTCCCGGCAGACGGGGGCCCCCCCGCCCACACGGTGGGTGACTCTGCAGGAAGAACCTGGCCTGGATGTGGGCTCCCATCCGGCCCTTTGGCTGGAGAGCTCTGTTCAGGGCACCGCTACCCAGCAGTCCGTGGCAGCCCAGGCAGAGCCCCGCCCAGCTGACAGACATCTGCAGAGCTCGCTGCTCTGCCACGGGGGACACGTCTGTCCTGCCCCCTCCCTGTCCCTCTGTCCGGTCCCCACACTCTGTGCCAGCACGGCGGGGCCCGGGGCTCCGGCGGGGGGGGTCAGCGCCTCGGGGCTCCTCAGGAGGCCCGCTCAGGCCGGGAGGGGGGCTGTGGGCCGTGACCCGCATCTGCAGGCGCTGCCACCAGGCCCTGCACCCGTGCAGGCGCGTTCAGAACGGCCCCGCTAATGCCTTGGCAGCAGGGGGTCGATTGCTACTTTCTCCAAACTCATCAACACCATCTATTATTAATACTTCTCCGAAGGCCCCACGCCGCCATTACCGCGGCAGCGCCAGCCGCTCGGGGCGTCATCTGTTATCTAGATTGCAAAAACCCGGGAGATAAAACAAGCAGCGCGCACTTTATAAACCGAATGTGCCATCCGTTAGGTCTCCGAGCCTCTCTCCTCCCCATAAAACATCAGGGGGGACACATGAAATACTCGCTCCCAATTACGGGGTGCCTTTGTCTGCCGTGCAGGGGTGAGAGCTGCGTGGGAGGGGCTGGGGCGCCGGAGGGGTCCCCCCTCTGCTCGAGCCGCCCCTCCTCCCCTCGGTCCCTCCCACCAGGGCGGGATTGGCGGAAGCCGCTCGGAGAAGCAGATCAGCCACGGGAGGGTGGCGCTGGCATGGATGGGCTCAGGCTCAGGCTCAGTGCCTGGTTCCACCACTCCTGGCTAGTGATCCGGCAAGTCACATCCTCGCTCTGAGCCTCTGTTTACTTCCCTGTATAATGGGTTCACAAACACTGCCTGCTTCTCAGTGTGAAGATGCAGTAAACTGTCAGCACAGAGCGGGGAGCACAGGCCGAGGGGTCAGGGGCTGTGTGAGGCCAGGGGCAAGCCTCTCTCGGGATGTCCCAGATGCAGACCAGAGAGGCCGAGGGGTCAGCATGGAGGGCCTCCCGCAGCTCTGCCTGCGCCCCCAGGGGCTCCGGAGCCTGGTGTGAAAGGCTCTGACCTCCATCCGGACTGTGACCTTGGGCAAGTCAGAGCCTCTGTTTCCTCATCTGTAAGGTGGGGACAATAGTCCCGGCTCCTCAAAACCATGCGGGGGATTCCAGAGGGCTGTGTCCCTGCTCCCACGCTGGGGCTGGGAGGCAGGGAGGGGGAGGGCCCTGGGGGCAGGGCATGCTGGGAACCCGGGAGGCCTGCTGCCTGTCCTCCCAGGGTCCCTCCTCCCGCTTCCTCCATGACCCCCTTTCCAGAAAACAAATCCAGAGGGCAGCTTTGGGACCGCATCACAGGCACATGGCCTGGCTGCGTCCTCCCCATCTCTCGTAAACTGCCACTTCCTTCCACTTCCTATGCTGTGTCACCGTGCCCTCTGCCCCCGTCTGCCCCAAACACCTGCTGATTTGGAACGACCTGCTTGGGTGTCCCTTCTTCCAGGAAGCCCCCCTCTCCTCTCCAGTCTTAGACAGATGCGTCCCTCTGAGTTCCCTGTCCTCATACCTGCCCCCCAATTGTAGCCCCGATACTAGGGACTCTGAATACTTCCAGGCCCACCTGCCCCTCGTCACCTCTGAGCACCAGGCCCTGGGTACAAAAAGGTGAGCAATAAGTGTTTGCTGAATGAATACTGAACCAACCAGGACAGTCCTGCTCCGCCTGTGGAGCAGGAAAGGCAGTCCCCACTCCCAACCTGGTCTGGTGGGGGCCCTGGCCACCTGGCCTGGGGAGGCAGAGCCCCTGGGAGGGCCTCTGGGAGGGGTGGGGCTGGAGCAGGCAGCCTGGGGTTCCATCCTGGCTCCACAGCTCTGGCCAAGACATTTAATATCTCCGAGCCTCAACTTCTCCATCTGTGAAATGGGGATGATGGTTTCTACCCACGGCACTGCTGGGAGGGCCAGCACAGCACCAAGGAGATGCCACAAGAGCTGGGGTCTGCCCTTCTCTTGTCCCGCCTGGGTCCAACATGCCTGTGTCCATCCCCGTCGCTGGAGCCTCTGAGTTTCTGGAGAGAGGCAGCCGCGACACCTGTCCCAGCCCCACCTCCCTCCCTCCCTCTCATGACCACCTGGGTTCTGTGTGGCCTGAGCTGGACAGAGCTCCCCTCGCTCCATTCCTCATCTGTCCCATCGACACATCTGAGCACTGACAAAGCTCAATTGTCATCTGCCGGCATCACCACAGTAAGCCCAGAGCCCTCAGAGGGGACTGCTTCCCGCCCATTTTACAGATGAGCACACCGAGGTGCCGAGGTGCAGGTTACTCATTCAAGGTCACGTGGCAGCATCGCTGCATACTCCCTCCCTCCTCCGGGCATCCAAGCGTTTCTCTGCTTCTCAACCTCCTCGCCCTGGGATCTGAGCTTCACACCCACGTCTGTCTGCCCTCAAGGCTCCGGACATCGTGGGACAGGAGCCCGATTCACCCCGGGTTCCCATCGCTCAGCCTACGCCCGGGGCCCGGAGGTGCCGCGGAGTGGATTTTTCTTACGCCAAACTGAACATCTCCCCTCACAAGCAGCCCCCGACCCAGGATCATGTGTGATGGTGGAGCAGAAATTCCCTTTCTGGAGAGACGTCACCTCCCTTAAAGAGTCCCAGGCTATAACCTATCTCTACCTTCGCTGATTTTTTGTTGGTTTATTTACTTAATGCTCAATGTATTAAAGTCCTCGAGCTAATAAGCCGAACTCCAAAGCCAATGTTTCCTGGAGCATCGGAACAGAGATTACACATCTGTTCCAGGAATTTCTCTGCAGCCGCTGATGACGGCAGAGGCGCACACAGTATGGCGCCTTCACCTCTGGGAAAAACTGGGTTCCTAACGGCTGGGGGGACCCCAAGCTCTCCTCAGGGGTCTCAGACCCGCACCCTGGAACCCATACGGCAGGCATCGGGCCTGGAAGCCTGGCTCTGTCTCTCCTGGCGCTGGAACCTCACGCCAGTTCCCTCTCTCTGAGCCTCAGTGTCTCCATCTGTCCAATGGGCACATGCAATAGGTTCCAGGAGTGGGGCTCA